CTTTTATTTGTTTGACAAGAAAATCTGAAGATTATTAAGAGAATAAATGGGTTTAGGTAACTGGACCTAAAATTCAAGCATATCACCCAAGACTATGAAAAATATAAAGTGTTATGTTACAATTTCACATGTATGATCAAAGTATTGAATCTCATTAGTTCTTTGTGTTTGTGTTGTAGGTACATGTCTGCACACACGGAGACCAGGTCAGTGCCAGGTGTCTTCACCAATGACTCTGCCTTATAATTGGAGGAGCCTCTCACTGAACTTGGGGCTCCTCAATTCTGCTTCACAGGCTGACGGTGAAGTACAGGGACCTTCCTCCCTCCTCCCCATGCCCTTGCCCTGAGACTGGGGTTACAGACAAGCACCACAGAGCTGGAGAGCTAACCTGTCTTCTCAATGCAGGTGGCAGGACCTTTAAGGCTGAGTCACCTTCCCAGCCCTTCATTAGTTCTTAAAGGTAAACCAAGAGATTTGAACTTGTTTTAGATTTCTGATATGGAATCACCCTGTTTTACATCCAATGTATTTTAATATCTGACACACTTCAGTCTCCTAATGCAGCAAATAGGGCTGATAAAAATTACAACCTCTGCAGAACAGGATATAATGACCAGGATTTAAAAGTTATTAGTATTACCAAATGCTAAGTAAAGTCTCTTATCTTGATGCTCTTAAAGCCTTAAACAAGCTTCTTAAAGTACATGTGACCTAGTTAGTAGTTATCTCAAATTCATAATACATGAACTTCCAATGATCAAGTTCTAAATTAATAGTAACACTTTGTACAGCATAACTGGACTACAGATTATTTCTTTACATTCTAAAAAATTTATTAAAAAAATAGTAACTACCCACCAAAACCAGGTAACTGCATTATATGTTGTGAGATGGTTACTACTCTCTTCATTTGCAAGAGAAAACAACTCTATCAACAACTGCTTGTCCCTAGTCCTAAAACAGTGAGTATTAAATTACAACTAAGCATCTCCAGATATGCTGAATAGAGAAACACATCTCATAGTGATACCACTATGAGACTGCACACAAATCCCAATAGTAACCCTATCAGAGGTGTTTAAAGTTTACAGTAATCCAGATGAAAACAGGCCTGTTTAAAAACAGGGAAAAAATGCATAATGGACAGAAGTTTACAAAAGGACACACAAGCAGTCAGATGTCTGAAACAAAAAGTAGGTACATGGTTTTTCAGAGGTAATTAAGTTGATGGAAACTATTCCCAGACTAATGACAATAACATGAAACCAGCCTCTGCAATAATATATTTTACAGTTATAATATACTCACATTACTTCTCTAAGAGGCTAAATACAATATCGACATTTTATTAAGTTAAAAGCAACTGGCTAAAAGTTGTATTAAAATCATGTAAGACAAACAAGATGGCACAGTAGGGAAAACGTTTACCATGCAAGCCTAGCAACCCAAGATCGATCTCCATGGAAAGGCAAAACTGACCTCTAACCCACAAACATGCTTTTTTAAGTTACATTTGGGAGGCAAAGGCAGACGGATCTCCATAAGTTTAAGGTCACCCTGGTCTACAGACCAGGAAAGCCAAAGCTACATAGAGAAACCATGCCTCAAAAAACAAAATAAAAAGTTTTATTTAAAATAAATGGATGAGAAGAAAACTACCCAATTTACAACATCGTAAATACAATATTTAGAAATAAACTTAACCAAGGAGACAAAAGACTTTTTATCACTACCCACGGTTACCGACATCCTAAATTCTAATATTTTTATAAACATTTTAATACGTCTAAAATGCAGGCTGGAGAGGTGACTCAGCAGTTAAGAGCACTAGCTGCTACTCTTCTAAAGGACCTGAGTTAAATTCTTGGCAACCAGACGGTGGCTCACAACCATCTATAATGGGATCTTATGCCCCTTCTCGTGTGCAAACATACATGTAGACAGAGCACTCACTCATATACATAAAATATATGAATAAATAAATCTCTTTTTTTTTTAGTCTAAATAGTGTCACAGACTTAAGAGAGAAAAACAAAACTGAAAAGCTCACACTTTGTGAATGTAAAAATGCCTAACAGCTGGTTGAGGTAGTACAGGCCTTTAATCCTAGCATAAGGAAGGCAGAGGTAAGAGGATGTCTGAGTTTCAGGACAGGCTGGTCCAAAGGCATCACAAAGCTAAGTAACCTAAGGCATGTTCTTGCATTGATGAGCCAACCTGACTCCATCTTAATATTAGAAGCCATCTATTACATGGTCAAAATATGTTCATTCCTATGTTCTATAAAACTTGGATTTGACCAGGTCTTTTCTGGAATTTGACATGTCCCACAATCTATATCTTAACCTACACTCTGACAAGATGCTCCACCAAAAAAACTTTGAAATGTTCAGCAAAGTTCCTACATAACCAAAATACCTCTGGAAATGCCAGCCCTTGAAAGCCCCTAGCCCTGCAGTTTTCTTTGTCTATCTGTTTTGTTTGACTATATAAGCCCACTGCCTCCTGGGTGTTCAATGCTGTTTTCTGATAGACAGCCCTGTCTGACCAAAGAATTTGGGTAGTGGGCTTTACTCTCATTATCTGGGATTAAAGTATGAGGACAGACCTTTGAACCAGAGTAACAATACAAAGTCTGGAAGTCAACCCCTAGCATTATATTATATGCTGTCAAATTATCAACACTGATGCCTGAAGCACTCAATGGGAAAGGAAGAATCTTCTCCAAAGCCAGGCAATCTAGGTCCTTCCTATACCTACAAAAGTGAACTCGAAATGTATAAATACCTCAACTTAGTATTTAAAACCGTAAAGCTCCTAGAAGGAACAGGAAAAAAATTTATATTAAATTTGTTAAGTTTCTTCAAACTTGACTAAAAGCTCATGCAACAAAAAGTGAAAGACAAGATTATCCAAAGGGGTGAAGGGGAGAAAAGGCAGCCCACAGAAGAATACAAATGATTACCCAGTGAGGAATTAATAACTACAAAGATTTGCAAATTGACAAAAAAAAAATCCAATTTTAAAATGGGAAAAGGACTTGAATAATCTTTTTTCCAAAAGCTATTCAAACCATCCAGTAGAATAGGCCCTCTGTATCCACAGGAACCACAACTAACAATCCAACCAATTTCAGATCAAGTATGGTGGGAAAGAGCTTGTGTATATATTGAACACTTAAAGACTCTCTTCATTATTTCCTCAGTAAACTACTTTTAACAACTACTCACATATTAGGCAAATGAGTAAAGTGATGACTTCACGTATATAGAAGGGTGTTCGTAGTTTGCATGTAAATAATGTACTGTTTGACATAAAAAGAATTAAGCATACAAGAAATTTTATATTTAAGGAGGAGTCCTAGAACCAATCCCTAATGGAAAACAAGGGATGAATAGATATGAAAAGTGGCGTAGCATCAATGTTCATCAAGAAGGTAACATGCAGGCCACTGAGAGAAAATTTATCAGTACCCAGGATTGGACCCCGAAGTCTACAATACCAACCTGCCAGACAAGGTGTGCCTGCTGGTGCAACAGCGGCATCAGAACTATGGGAAACCAAGAGCTTTATGATTCCATCCAAGGTAACTAGTTCTACAAACCTGGTCAAAAGCCCAAGGCTTTGGGTGGGTGCCTGCTACTATTGCTAAATGGCCATGCTGTCAAACTATCTTCAAAATACTTATGTCTATACCCAGAGATTAATGTTACTGTCAACCTTGACCAGAAAAGCCTCTTTCTGCAGTGGGCAGTGATGTAGAGGCATAACTGGTGAGGTGCTAAGAAAAGATAATTCAGGGTCAGCCTAAAATGGGGTATCTAAATCCAACCCCCTACAAATATACAAGGTTGAGAAAACATCATAAAAGGCAGAAAGAGTAGAAGAGCTGGAGGGTGAGTCTGAGTAAGAGTGCTATGAAATGCTATCTTCTTAACATAGGCACTGCACTCATGAACTCACTGAAACTATGGGTACCTGCAAGATCAAGGCAACAAGATCCGTCAACTTTCCAGCTGGTGGCATTAAATGGACCCAGTGGGCCACCAAAAGAAAAAAAAAAATAATTAAATAAAATAAAACAATTAATAGCCAAGAAGGTAAATAATGTGCTGAAGTGGTAGAGTAGGATCTGGGAGTAGGTCTGATCAAGATACATTGTATAAACACATGTAATTGTCAAGGAATAAATAAAAGATAGTTTTGGTTGGAGAAATGACTCAGAATTAGAGTTTGGTTTCCAATACCCACATCAGGTGACTCAACCACCTATCACTCCAGCTGCAGAGGATACAACACACCCACATACATACATGTGCGCGCGCGCACACGCGCGCGCACACACACACAGTGCACACACACATAATAAAAAGTCTTAAGAAATCCTATCATATGTATGCTACAACACAGATAAAACTTGACCTCAAAGTCTGCATGATTTAACTTATTGATTATTTAAAAGACAAACAGAAAGCCCTACAGAACAATGGTTGTCAGTGGTAAGCGATATAGAAAGGTTAATGGTGTCACTTTTATGACAAACTTCTATAGATCAACTGACAACATGCATAATTTCACATTTTTCAAAAAAAAAGTTATGATAAAAAAATTGGTCATAGACTATACGCAACCATTTTTAATTTTAAAACCATATATAAACTGTGTTCTAAGAGTTCACAAAAGTGAAAAGTGAAAAATTATTTTCAACTATTTTTAAAACAGAAATCTTTAAGGATGTTGAGTTTGTGTCTGGTATAATCTTTTAACTACAGGATAATATTCCTAAAGCATCTAGCAATATCATCTCTTCTTAAATACTTCAAAACAGAAGAGAATAGATGTCAAACAGAACAAAGTAATGAACTTTATTACAAATTCTCATTGCATAGAACATGCATTTTCCAAAACTCCCAACAGCATATAATCAAGTTACACTGGAAAATGTGTTAACTTGTATATATGGTAAAGACGTACCTGACGCCAGTCTGCACACTTACCTTCATCAAAGTCAGCATCATCTTCTGTGTGCTGGGGGAATGGGAAACAGTTGGTAATCTCTAGTCGATCTTCCACAACCAGACCCAGGAGCACTCCTTGAACAACCTCAGTTCCTTGTCCTTCTTCTTGATAATGTTTGATTATCTTTAATACTACCTAAAAGGAAATACAAAAGACAACTTAAACGCCATACTAGTCTATGTTTTACTTATTTCTAAGGAAAAGAACAAAAAGCTACCTGTGAGTTTCCACAACCAAAAAATTACATATTAAGACTCAACAAATTTTGTCTTACAAACCATTTTCTTTAAACTTATATAAATAAATGAGGTTCCTGGATAGTTAATCCTACTAATGAGATCACTAAGTCTTTGTTAAAACAAAATAAACAGATATCAGAAAACAGGTGAGCTTTATGTAGACGTTTAGAAGAAAGCTCGTTATCTATATATGCACAGAGGAATGTTAATGACTAGAATCTAGCATGTTTTCACAAAGAAGCCTGTCAGAATAACAAAAGAAAGGAAGGCAGAAGAAGGCTATTAAGGATCTAAACAAGCAGGTTGCAACTAAGCATAGACTAGACTACCTCATATTCCTTCCAGCATTCCTGAACCAGCCCATTTGGTTCCTTATAGAGACCAGGGACACGAAGATGAAAGTTTCTGTCCCACCAGGTTCTGCCACCCTTCAGCCCCAAATAAGCACACAGAGACATATTAAACTGTTGGCAGATGGCTAGGGCTTCTTACTTGTTAGCTCTCCTAATTAACCCATAACTACTAATCTATGTATTACTACATGGCCTTATCTTATCAGCGAACACCTGGTGCATCCCATCTTCCTGGTCTCTACATGGCATCTCTTCCCATCCTCTCTGACCCCACCCCTACCCCCAGCATCCTCCTAGTCTCCTAATCCCGCATACCTTCCTGCCTCTACAAGCTGAGCAGTGTTTTATTCATCAACCAATAAGAAAAACATATATACAGAAGGACATTCCCCATCAGGGGCACTTAACCATACAACATCCCCAAAAGAGACAGGAGATCATAGAGGTCCGATTAGCTGCTAAATAAAATCAGCATATAATAAATAAGTTAAGTAGGGGAATTACAGAGAGAGATTAAAACCCTGTGATGAGGGTTAACTGACTTCAATAAATTCCTCTCTCTGGAAAAGCCCTCAAAACAAGTACCTGTTAAACAGCAAAGGATTTCCAGGTAATGGAGCATTGGCCTTCCATGCAAAGATAAAACTGGGTATCAACAGTGTTCATTTCAACAAATAAAATGTCAAACTTAAGGATAAATGATCTACAGCATTCAAGGCTGACCAAAATATAAATTCAAGAAAGACTCCATCACCAAAGTAATAAATGCACGATCTTGCCATTTCAACCTGATGAAAGGAAGCATTCAAAAATAAATCAAAGCATCTTTATCAAACCATCATTTGAAACAGCATGGTCTTCCTGCTGTCCAACTGTTAATGGTATAACTGGGAATGTACCCCAGACTCTTGTGGTCAGTGCTGTGCCTCAACTGGTGATAGTATTTCTGGAGGTTGCATCTAACTGGAGGACACTGGTCCCTGGGAGCATGGCTTGAAATTTATACCTGGCCCCAAGTTCCTTCCTTTCAGTGTTTCCCTGCCTTCATGAGAACAGTCTCCTAGTTCACCTTGTCCATCCTTCTGTCACCGTGATAAGGATCTACTCAAACACATGGGGCACACAACCAAAATGAACCATCTGAAAACACGATCCAAAGAAAAACTTACTTTTCAATTGCTTTTCTCTGGTGTTTGTCACAGCAATGTGAAGTAATACACAATGTTTGTTTTGTGTTGCTGTGGCAAGCTGCCTGACAAACCACTTAAAGGAGAAATTACTTCAATTCAGTTTTAGGGGTTCCAGCCCATGTTTTTGAAGAAAGGGAGGCAGAGCATCATGGTGGACAGCACAGTGGAGTTGCCTGAGCAATGACTCCATGGCAGCAAATCGAGAAACACAAGAATGGATCAGGAAAAACTACAGCCCTTCCAAGCAGGCCCGCAGATACCAATTCCTCCAGCCAAGCCCCACCACAGAAGTCTCCACGTCTTCCCAATAACACCATCAAAGTATGACTCAAACAGAGGAGTGACTAAGTCAGAGCTCCCATGACCCAATCACTTCCCAAAGGCTATCAGGTGACAAATCAGCTTCCAACACAAAAGCTTTGGAAAGAGACTTTGTACTTAAACCATAAGAATATTAAAGGTAACAACAACTCTTTTACTCAAGCAATATAATGGAAATCCTTCACAAACTTGAAATTAAGACTTGCTTTCTAGGGAAACCTACATTCATCTCTAGAATGTGTACTTTTGTCCTGTAATATTTCATCCCAATTCCTTACTTGGTGCATGCCTTTAATCCCATCACTGAGTTCAAGGCCAGCCTAGTCTATGTTTTCATGAGTTTCCAAGTTTTAAAACAAGTCTCTTACTCAAATATGTGAGAGGGTTCCACACCAAGCAAGTCTCCCAGTTCTCCCACCACCACCTGAACGTCTCAGATTTCAAGGCAATTCCACACGACCGGAAGTTAGCAGCAGACCCCGACAGTTAAGGCCTCCATCCTACAACACCAACAGACCATAAACCAGGGATCCCCACAACACCCTTCTCAGGTTTAACCACCAGCTGTAACAGGCTTATACAACTCAGGGAAACACATTACTTAGCTGGTTTCAAAAGAGAAAGTCAAACGAAGAAAAGGACAGTGCAAGGGGCCAAAGCAGGAATAGTGGCTGAGCCTACCACTCCTCCTGGGCCTCAAACTATTGAGTTCCATTCACTCAGCAAGGCTGGCATCTTTAGTACTTTTTTAAATTTTATCTTAATAAATTAGACTCATCTCCTCCAACTTACCCAACTCCTTCCCAGAAGTCCAACCACTCTTTGTGGAGCCCAAGCGAATCCTGGGTCACCTCATTAACATAAACTCCTGTGGGATCAGAGAACTGAGTAGGAACAAAAGCCATTCCTGTCACCCAACGCCCTAAAAGTGTAGACGCAATGGAACAGAAATTGGGAACAAGAACTGAACACACTCAGGACCCAAAACACTCAATACTCTTTTAAAACTTTCAAGTCCTTAAAATTAACCAAGGCCCCCCCAAAACTAGTGTTGATAGTTTCAGTCAGAAACTGAAATTGGTAAATTCTGACAATATTTCTCTTAACAATAATGAATGTGCTATGTGCCAGCATAAGCTACATTCATATGAAAAATAACTATTTTCCAAAATGAAAATATTTACTCAGTATTTTAAAATACTATATTCAGAACAGAAGAATCTAACTGTTTGCATTTTCAAGTCTTTTTAATGTCTTGCTTTGTAAAAAGCAGATGAATTACCATGTCTGCCTTTGTGCTCAGTCTTTTAACAGTTATCACTGAGCATCTGAAACCTCTACTGACTACTCATGAAAGAACATACAAAACACTGGGAAGGAGTTTATAGATTATTAAAAGTTTGATGCCAGACACTTTTAAAACAATATCTAAAATGTTAATGACAATAAAGAAAACAGATCATGATTATAGTTTGTGAAAAATAATTATAAGCCAGGTAGTGGTGGTACACACCTTTAATCCCAGCACTTGGGAGGCATGGGCAGGAGGATCTCTGTGACGACAACCTGGGCTACACAGAGAAACCCTGTCTCGAAACAAAAGGGACATGGAAAACAACACCTTTGGGACACTTTAAATAAAACAACACCTGCCTTTCATAACATACATGTTTTATTTTTCTTTAAATTTATATATATTGAATATTTGCCTGCATCTATGTCTGTACACAACATATATCCCTAGTGCCTGAACTGAAGGCCAGAGAAGGTGCTGAACCCCCTGGAAAGAGAGTTAGAGATACTTGTGAACTGCCATGTGGATTCTAGGAACCAAATCTGGGCCCTTTGCAAGAGCAGCTAATCCAGGACAGCTAATCTGTCCAGCCCCAGGAAATTATTTTAAGGACATCAAAAACATCTAGAGATTATGGAGTACAATGCCTAAGATCCCAGAGTTCAGGAACAGAAGCTGAAAGATCACAAATTGGAGGCATACTAAGCCACTTAGTGAGACTATCAAAGCAGTGCTTGCCTAGGTGTGTTCAACTCCTAGTATGAATAGATGGGAGGGAAATATGTGTACATGTTACTTGTGCGTATGTTTTCAGGGCTGATCACTTGGAACTGGAGGACCATTGGTATGTTCTTCCCTGGGGAGAACTATTCAGCACTCTTAAGGTTCCTTAGTTGCCTATAGTTCTTTGTTTGTGTAGGGCATCTCTTTTTGACACAGTAATCCTACAATTCTATTCCCAGGCACCATGCACAAACATCTGCAAATTATCAGATAATATGCACATGGACATACATACCACCACTGTGAAAGACATAACTGGAATACAGAGACTGGCTTTCAACAGCAAATGGCCTTTTAAGAGAAGCCTGACCTGTGCTAACTATAAATCTGCAAACAAGCAATTCAACTCCACTGTAATAAACACTCAAAAGGAGGTAGGGCAGTTAAGTGGACAGTGGTGCTGCACTTGCCTATCACATCCATGGCCAAGGTTCCATCTGTTACCAGCAAAGATCTGATTAGAAAATAAGCTAAAAGTAATAAAAAGTCAACATGCACCAGGAAAAACAGGTTTCTGACTATCCTTGAAAAAAAACCCAATGACGCCTCAGTAGTTCAAAGTTTTAAGACTACAGTACCCATCGTTTGTAGCCATTATAAAGCAGAGTTTGTGGGGAGTGTGAAGGTCTCAACTAGTACTGTTCAGCTAAAGTAGGTGAACACTGAATTACTCATTCATCTTTTTAGACAACTAACAGAGGAAAAAAAAAAAATCACTAAAATCATTAAGATATTTTAACCAGCAAAACTAACTTAAAAAGTAAATCTGGTGGAACTAAGTGATCACTTTATCTTATTCGTCAGGGTTGTATTAAATATTACACTAGTTAGGGGAAAAGCTACACCCTAAACTGGATATGAAAATTGTTTTTTTACAGTACATCTCTAGCTTCTTGTGAAGAACACATCCCCACTGTTTACTACCTATCAGCACTATAGGAAAATGGGGGAAGGT